CCCCGTGCCCTCCCACCTGGTTGTGCGGGTGCTGGGACAGCCTCCAGAGCAGCGCGACCGATGCGCGACGCACGTCCTGGCTGCGCGACGCCAGCAGCGAGCACAGCGTGGGCAGCACGGCCTCTGCAACCATCTCCGCCTGGATGTCTGCTGGGTGGGGAAACAGGCACGGTCAGGGAGCTTCAGTCAGGCCCTGACTCATAAGCATCTGACTGCTGCAGTGATGAAATTAGAGGGGACCTGTCCAGTGACCAGCAGCGAGCACAGCGTGGGCAGCACGGCCTCTGCAACCATCTCCGCCTGGATGTCTGCTGGGTGGGGAAACAGGCACGGTCAGGGAGCTTCAGTCAGGCCCTGACTCATAAGCATCTGACTGCTGCAGTGATGAAATTAGAGGGGACCTGTCCAGTGATGAAATTAGAGGGGACCTCTCCGCCTCGAAGGGATGGGACAGGGCTGGATGTTTGGTTATGAAAATAAACCCTCCTTTGTTTTGGCTCCTTTTGCCCAAGCTGGAGAGCAGCCTGCAGCTTTGGACACCCTGCAGTTCCTGTCTGAGCCTCAGTGAGAGGAAACGGGAGGAAGTTTCTGAGGGCTTCCCTGGCCTAAGACCAGGCGAGAAGGCGGCAGCTCCTGCTGCACAGAGATCCCCCCCAGGCACCACTTGCCTCTCGGGTTGTGGTTACCCAGGGGAGAGGTCACCCATCCTGCCTGAGCCCTTGTGCCCCCCTCGTCCCTGAGCCTCACCAGCTGTTTCTGGGCACTAAAGGCAGTGGCAGAGCAGCCAGCAGACCAGGGGCTTTCAGCCACGCCAAGAAGCAGGGCAGCAGTTCCTTCATTTCCAGCTCCACTGTCACAAGGATTGAATGAAAATCCTCCACGTGTTCTAGATGAACAACCCTCCCCTGGACCCCTGGGCTCTAACGTTGAGGCTGCTGGTCCTTTGCTTTCATCTCCTGATCGTGTTGCAGGAACGGATCTTGGGCAGGTAACAGGAGACCAGTTTTAAAGAGGGTGGCAAGTATCTGGGAGAAGATTATATTTAATGACAGACAGGTTCATGCCTTGGGAGAAGGCAGGTCCCCACTCAAGCAGCAATTTCAGGAGACATTCTGTCCTAATCAAGTTTAATGTTTAGGAAACGTGGAAGGGAGAAATATTTAATACAGCTACAAAGGCTCTGTGCATGAGAAGACCTCTGCTGTCCCTCTCATTTCATCCAGATACTTCCCCTTGCTATCTGGGAGTTCTGAGGCTGGTTTAGTTAGTAAACCTGCACTTCCCTTTTCCCTTAACATCCAATTAAGATGTAGAAAATAGGGTATCTCCTTACTTTTAATATGAAAGGTTCCCAGCCCACTGAGCTCACTCCAAAAGGCAGAGAGAGAAAGAAAAAGAAATAGTATGTTTTGTTTATCTCCAATAAATTGCTTACCACTGGCAGCCAAATTTCTGAGACAAACACATGCCTGGCTGGAAACCTGCTTGTGCCAAAGGGGGGAAAAAAAAAAAAGAGGGGAAAAAGAGTGGTTTCAGTGATGCATGTTCTTGCCTATTGTACACAAGATAAACGTGACAACACTAGCAAGATATGACATTATCTCTGGAGACCAAAATTTGGGACACAACTTTTTTTTTTCAAAGTTTCTATTAATTTTTTTCATAGAATCACAGAATGTCTTGGGTTGGAAGGGATCTCTAAAGCTCATCTAGTCCAGCCCCCTACAATAAGGAGGGACATCTCACACTAGACCAGGTTGCTCAGAGCCTCATCAAGGCTGACCTCGAATCTTCCCTTTTCTAGTTTAAAACCATCACGCCTTGTCCTGTCTTTACATGCCCTTGTGAACAGCTCTTCCCCAGCCTAGACTCCTTTGAGGTATTGGAAGCTGCTACAAGGTCTTCCTGGAGTCTTCTTTTCTCCAGCCTGAACAACCCCAAGTCCCCCAGCCTGTCCTCATAGCAGAGCTGCTCCAGCCCTCTGATCATTTTCAATCTCCTCTAGTATCAGTCATCCTGTTGTCAGTTAGGAAAAGACAATGGAATTCAGGTGTTGGTTTATTTTAGGAATGTCAGATAACTTATAGGAAAATGAAGTTAATAGGTGTCATTTTCTTTACCTTTTTTTCACCTCCCTTCTACACAGAATTTAAGGTTCCAACCTTTAAGTCCTGAATTGTGGCTTATTGAAGTTTCTTTGGGGTGGCTCAACTAAGTAAAATTTTCAAGGTGTTACTCTTTGAAGCCATATAGTCAGAGTTATGGATACCAAAAAGAAAATTAAAAAAAAAAGTAGCACAACAGATGTTTCAGATACCTCCTGTCCCAGACACAATGATCAAAGATAGTTGAGAGCCTGGACAGAGCACTTCACACACATCCTTTCAAGTTTAAAGAATACAGGCCATCCCAGTCTACAGAATGTGTCTGGGGCTATGGAACAGCTTTAATGATTTCCCTTCTCTTTCTCCATACATTGATCTTGTAGAGCCTAGGTATGTATCATAGAATCACAGAATCATTAAGGTTGGGAGGGACCCTAAAAATCACCCAGTTCCAACCCCCTGCCATGAGCAGGGAACCACTAGACCAGGCTGCACAAAACCTCATCCAACCTGGCCTTAAAAACCTCCAGGGATGGGGCATCAACAACCTCCCTGGGCAACCCATCCCAGTTCCTCACCACCATTAGAGTGAAGAATTTCTGCCTAATATCTCACCTAAATCTCCCCTCTCTCAGTTTAAACCCATCAGCCCTTGTCCTGTCACTGCCCTCTCTGATGAAAAGCCCCTCCCCAGCTTTCCTGGAGCCCCTTCAGGCACTGGAAGGCTATCTCATATGTCTTTTCTCATGGGAAAGGTGCCTCAAAAAGCACCTATTGATGAGCAGAGTTGTGAAAGACTGAGCCTGGAAGCTCTGCTCTGCTGCTAAGCCTTTAGACAAAGAGAAAGCTACATCTTTACCTTGTCCACAGCAGAGGACAGGAGAGAGATGAGTGTCCGCAGCAGGAACCTGTTGGCAGGGCTCAGCAAGGCTTCGTGGTGCTGAGCATTGGCTGCCACGTTGCTCAGGGCAGCACAGCTGTAATACTGCAGAGAGCCAAGAGCAGAGAGAGAGGAGGTCACACTGGGGCATGGTGAAGAGAGTCACAGAATAGTCATGGCTGGAAAGAACCTCCAAGATCACCCAGTCCAAGTGTCATAAAAAAACCCCAAACAGCAACAAAACAACAAAAAACCCAAACAATCCCCCCACACACACCTTGATTTACTCAAGCAGGATGTGGTCATTGCCCTCATGCCAAGGGATCATTTCCAAAGGATTTAAACAATAAAGCTAGGGAGGATTATATATATAAGAGCATGTATTACCAGGGAGGTATAATTAGAAGAAACAGGTTGAACTGCAGTGGAGGAAATTTTAAGATGAATCTCAGATGGTTTGCAGAAAGCAATTCCAGAGACTCCATCACTTCAGACTTTTAAAGAGAGAACTGGATAGAGACAACAAACACCAGAGGAAACAGCCCTGTTCTACTCAGGACCAAATGGAGAAACTAGTGGATTAGGGCTGACAACTCTTGACTCAGGTTTTCATCAGCAGACTGTTGGTCCAAGACCAGCTTTCTGTCACGAGTGCAGAATCTCAGAGGTGCCCGTGCTAGGCATAAAACAGGAAGATTTCCCAGACATTTACAATTAGAAGAAAAAGTCTTTGTAAGTTATTCCTTCTCAGAGCAGTTAGTACAATTGCTTAGAGTGCAAGATCAAAGTCAGGATGTAAAAAACTCCCCCAACAAAGCAGAGGAAGAGGCTTATCTGCAACTTGTCTGAGCTGAAAGACACACAAAGGTACCACCATGTGTCCATGGGTTAGTGTGTGCTGGCAGAGGCACTTCTGTATCATAAACTTCCTCCTGTGGAGCTAGGAAAACTGTGCTTTGAACAGACATCATCTGCCTGAGCTGAGTGTCACCGAGATGCTCTCATGTGTTTCCTGTCCTCTCTAGAGAAGCCTTCCCTGCTCTCCACCTTTTCATTCCACAGGCTGTGGTTTGTGCTCCACTTACAGTCACACTGCTCTGTGCAAGAACCTGACCTGTTTGAGCCATACCTGCACTTCTGAGTCAGGAGATTCCAGCAGCAATGCAAGAACTGGCAGGGCTCCTTCCTTGCACAGGACCTGTTGGATTTTCTCTGCCATTAGAAAAGGAAAAAAAGAAAGGTGCTGTTAGAGCGTCTTTCCCCTTCCTTCCCTCTTTTCTGCAGGGGATATTCATAATCATTGGATCTGAGAGTCTGAACTGCTGGAGAAGCTGGAAACCCTCACACATTCACCCTGAGTTCTGTGTTAAAAACCAGCAAATTATGTTTAAAATTCTTAGCGTGTAATAGCCAACTGTAGAAGTTCTTGCCAACCACCCCCTTACACCATACAGAAGTAGCAAATCATTCACCACTGCACCATCAGCTGTGGGGGCACTGGTATTAGCTAGAGGTGAGACTTGGTGCTGCTTTGTTTCAGAGTTAGTGCAGGGCAGTGCACATGCAGCTGCTGAGGTGCAAATAGTGCTTTTGCTACAGCTGCTGGCAGATACCCCAGGTCCCTTTAACATCTGGCCCATAATAGTCACATTTTGCCTCTTCCAACTTCAAGCTGGGGATACATGTCCATCATTCCTAGAGCTTGGCCTGGTTGGATGGGCTGCTGAGATGGCCTCAAGGCACCACTGAATGTGCTGCTAGCTTTTTAGACCCAGCTCTTTCTTTAACAAAACTGGTTTTTTTCCTATTTCTTTTCTGATTATTTAAGTGCTTGTACAGTAGCCCCTTGGGGTTGAGAACAAAGCCTTCCTATTTCAGTAGCAGGCAACAAAGAGTGTGTATTAGCTAAAGAGAGGCCACATTTACATCACCAGCCTATGCCATCTACAGAAATGCCACATGCAAAGGGAAGAACCTCTTACTGACACACTTTTATTCTTGCCCCAACCCTTCAGAGTTATTTTTTTCATGAGTGAGAAATTTCCTTTCAGCAATTTTAGGTAAGCCATTAGTCAAGAAAGTACCTGATCTTGTGAGGTTGAGGATAGCCCCAACTGCATTTTGCTGGACCCTGGGATCGTAGGAATTGGCAAGAGACAGCAGGGGTGTCACTCCTCGAGCAGCACCAATGGCTTCCCGGTTGGACTCTGGAGAAAAGAATCAGGGAAAGCAAGAAAGGAAGAGGACATTGTCATCTCACTGTGAGCAGGGAGCAGGACACCAGCAGGACTAGATTTCTTAGGTGTTTGCTTCTCTGGTTCTTCGGTATATACCAACAGTTCCCTGCATGTTCAAAGGAACCTGTTAAAGCTCCAATGGCTCAAAGAGAAAACTGCCTCCTGACTTCTGGATTAGCCACAGGTCACAGCTGGGTCAGTGCTTCTGTTTCGTGACTGGGATGATTCAAATAAAGGGAGCAGAACTCCCCTAGCCAGGTTAGCAAGCTGTCATACTTGCCTTGTACTCCTGGTATGGCTGCTCAAGCTATTCACAGAGCATCAGCAAAACCCTATGTAATAACTGCAGGTGAGACTGAATTAATTTAGCAGGGTATATTCAAGGCCAGCTTCTCTCTTGGAATGTACCCATGTCACTCCTTTTACAGCTACAAACAACACTGAGGTTTCTAATGACAGAATTTTACTTAACCACTGGAATTGGGAAATGCCTCCTCTCTGAAGTGGTGATTCCTTGCATGGCAGTGTATGAAGCTGGAGAGTTGTGTTCCACCTCCTGGAGCACAAGGGGAACTCAAAAAATATCTACAGAGTCTCTTGAGACTCCTGGATGAAAAACTGGGAGGAAAATTCCTATAATACTTAAATAATCAGCTGCTCCATATAGAAGAGAATGCTTCCATTATGCTTCTCCCTGCCCCTCTACCATGAGACCATCTAAACCACCCCACCCTCCCCTTTACTGGCTTATTTATATCTGCATATTATCTGTATTTAGAGCTTGTAAGAATTCTAATGGCAAAAACATGGTGTTGGCAGTGGTGTTGTTTGAATTTGATGAGATTTACATGGGAATTAGACCAATTAAGAATTCTCTTAATATCATAGCATTCTTCAGATTATTTCATGAAAGAAAAAGAGAGGTGGGCCCATGCAACTGCATGGAGTTCAACCAGGCCAAGTGCAAGGTCCTGCACCTTGGGTGCCTGGTCAATACCTGGGTCAGGGCAATCCCAAGTACAAATACAGGCTGAGGGGAGAATGGATGGAGAACAGCCCAGAGAAAAAGTACCTGGGGGTGCTGGTTGATGAAAAGCTCAACATGAGCTGGCAATGTGCACTTAGAGCCCAGAAACCAACCCCATCCTGGGCTGCAGCAAAAGAAGTGTGGGCAGCAGGGCCAGGGAGGGGATTCTGCCCCTCTGCTCTGCTGAGACCCCACCTGCAGTCCAGCTCTGCCCCCAATATAAGAAGGACATGGAGCTGTTGGAACTGGCCCAGAGGAGGCCACAGGGATGCTCAGAGGGCTGGAGCAGCTGTGGCTGCCCCATCCCTGGAGACCTTCAAGACCAGGTTGGATGGGGCTTGGAGCAGCCTGGGCTGGTGGGAGGTGTCCCTGCCCATGCAGGGGGTTGGAACTGGATGGTCTTTAAGTTCCCTTCCAACCCAAACCAGTCTGTGATCCTATGAGAAAACAAAGTCCACAGTCTACATCTTTCATTGTTTATATAACCCAAACTGTCACTGAAGACCAGAGGATTTGTAGTTGAGTATTGTTTAATTTACATACTTTTCTAGGCAGTTCAAACCATGGCCAGTCTCCAGGAGTTTGCTCAGAGAAACATGAGGGAAAAGAAAGCAAGAAATGTGAAAGTAATTGGATGAGATCAACACTTCAGGTGCCAACTAACTTGGATAGTTAAGAGAACAAAGATGCTATTTCTGTACCTGGAACCTATCTACACTGGGGAACTGACACACACAGTCCAGCACATCTGCTCAAGTGTAGTTCACCCAGTACCAGTTCAGTGTTCCAAGACAAGTCCTTTTCTGCCTCCATAAGAATATTTTATATTCACGAAAATGCCTTTAATTCTAGGGGAAAAAAAATGCACTAAGTTTTGAGCAAAATAACTGCTCTGGGAATAGTCATGTAATTAAAAATAGCTTTTCCATGTGGGAAGCTTTATTGTGGTAAATTTTTTAGGCCAATTTTGAAGACAAGTCTTTCTCCAATGTCATCTGCCTGCATATTCTTCTTTTATTTCCCTGTGCAGAAGCAGAAATTTTGTGCTGGTCCAAATGATGGAAACCAGTTTGGTGTGATGGAAAGGTATTAGTTGAGCAAAGGAGAGCAGTAAAAAGATTGAGAATTCAGATATTGCTGCTTTCTTCATTCTCTTTCACAGTACACTCCATGAATGTTTATGAATGTAGAATAGAAACTCAAATTTAGGCAAAAGGATTCAGACAAAACCTGGGGAAAATATGGTGGCATATGAGCCATTGGGTGCTTCAGAAGCTTTTCTTCCTTAAAAGAGAACAACTGGCTTGATGGGAAAGGCCTCACAACCAAGATAGCTCAATTTTTCTGCCTGAGGGCTCAGAAGGGCTGGTCACCACTGGGAGCCTGCAGTGTCAGGAGGACCTCTCAGCTGCTGCACAGGAGGTGGCACCTGGAGACCCCAGCACCCCATTCCTGCCTAGGAAGGACTGGAACTCCTGCTGCCATCGTGGGAGAGTGGAGACACCACCACATGTACCCATCACACAATGGAAACCTCTGTGAGCAAAATAATAATTCTTTTTTTTTGTCATTTTCCCTTGGGTCATTCACTAACTGACAAGTTGTTCTCTCCTGCAGACTTTGTTAGTGCCCATCAAATCCAGGACACCCCAATATCTTTACACACACCATTTTCCTGTAGCCTTCTTTCCATTCTTATTCTAGTTTTGGTCAGACAATGTGGCTGAACACCCTCTGCTTTGTCAGCTCAAGGAGGGAGGAATGCCCATCTCCCCAGGATGACTGTGCACATCTCCAACAGATGTGGCAGGATAACGTTTCTCTGCTGTTGTTTTGAACCAGGAAGTTAATACAAAGGTGTGAGTGCAGCACTGTCAATGCAGGACTAAAACATGGTATAAAGAAGAGACAAGTTAGAAGGGTGAAGCAACAAAAGCAGAATGAAACTTTATAGTACAAAATACATGGATGTGCACCTGGAAACTTCTGTTGCAAGCCCTTAATTAATTGGTGCCTACTGGAAATAATAAAAGAGGAGGATAAAGACTGTTTAAGTCAGCTGCAGGGTCTAGTTGCACCATGATGCAATTACAAAAAAAGCAAAATGTCCCACAAAAGGTATTTCCCCAGATGCCCCTACAGGAGGCACAGGTGAGACACCAGCTGGAATATGGCACATTGCTGGTGACCTCTCTGTCAGAAGAGATTAATTCAAAGTGGAACTCCTGCAGCATTTATGTACATCTTGGGACTGTAACAGTGCCTGCAAAACAGCAGATGCAATTGCTGTGTCCCCCTCCTGGAACTCATCCCTCAGCACCAGAAGGGCTGTGAAGATGGATGGAGGGCCTGGCTCACAAAAGGAGGCTGAAACGAGCTTGGTTTCTTCGGTCCATTAAAATAAGGAGCCTCATCTGCATAGACCTCAGAGAGGGAGAACTACTGAAGCAAAACCCAGTGTAGACACCTACTGAGTCATGAATATATTTAGGTTGGAAATCAGAAAAAGGTTTGTAATCATAAGGGCATGAAGGGCAGAAACATGGAAAGAAAGATCTTCACTGGAAATCTCCAGAGGCAGAAAGTATGAGGTGGGAATTCCAGAATTTGCTGCTGCATCTTATGACCCAAACCCATGGCAAATTGTTCTTCCACCTTTAAATATGACATGAGAATTGAATGAATTAGTAAAGGGAAAGAACAGCAGACTCACCTGAAACAGCCAAAGTCATGGTGCAGGCACAGGAGTTACACTGGACAGTGGGATCCTCTGACTCCAGTAGGTCCAGAATTGGCTCAAGTAAACCCATCTCAACAACCAATTCTTTGTCAACTATTCATAAAATTCAATAAAAAATGGACAAACAGAAAAGTAAACAGTTGGTGCCTTTGTGAAAAGAAAGTGTTTTCCTCTGCTTTGGTGGTCTGTATTATGATTATACCAAATAGAGCCAGGATGGAAACACCTGAAAGACACTCACTGCCCCTGCTTGGGTTTGCCTGGTTCCTCTTCAGGCTCACGAAAGTAAGAGATGCTCAGACCTTCTAATTCAGAATGTGTCAAATATTTCAGCTAGCAATTCTGTTTCCAAACTTAAGATTAATATTGGAAAGTGCAACAGGTTTATTTCTAAAAGATCTGTTGCTTGAAAGTGTAAGTGGTGGGCTCTTGATCCAAGAAGGAGAGCAGTGAAACCCTTCCCACACCACTGCTCTGGGAATCACGTATCAGCCTTTGCACACAGATCCAAGATCTCTTGCCACATGATCTAGATGAGAGGGATCTGATATATCCTGGTGCCACCAGAATCTGTGTGGCTTGCAGACAGAAACAGAGCCACACCTGTCCTGTCAGGAGCACAAGAAATGGGATTTGGATTTGTGTAGACCTGAGTGTGCAGACATTTCCCACTTCTGAGTCTGGCTGAAGAGGTACTTTATGTGAATGTGGTGTTAATTACTCACTGTTTCCTTCCAGCAAGAAGTTCACAAGGGACAAGGAAGACATCTGCTGCACCTCCAGGTCAGCAGAACGTAGCAAGGCATAGAAGGGTTCCAGATGCTCAACAGGCAGGGGAACATTCACTGCAGGGTCGAGAGGAAACATTCAGGAGTCTCATCATTCAGCACAGTTCACATTTATCTCTTGTTGGTCTTAATCCTCAGGTGCTACCGTACATACTGAGTGGCATTTCCCTTCATTTAAATTCCATTGCCACTGGCAAAACAGGGCAAGTTTCCTGAAAAGGTTTTGAATAATCAAGTGGTTCAAACCCATCATGTGAAGGGAAGCAACATGCCTGGCTACCAAACCAGTTATTCTGCCTCAGAGCAGGGCCTCACTTGGCCATCTGCACTTTTTACCCAGAAAAAAATATATGGGATAGAGCTACCAAGTCAAGTGCCAGAATGTTCTCCTTGAAGTAAATGTAGAACAAACAAATCACAGCCTGCTTGTTGAAGGTATTTCTGCCTTTTTGCAGAACCCTGACTCTTGGTAGATTCTTCTTTGGCAAATCTAGGCTGGTTTCTAACCATTTACAGGCTACCCCAGGAGCCAGGTGCCCACATGGAATAGCTAGGACAAAGAATGTTTCCTTCACAAATTTCCACTACAATCTGGCCTCTAGTGTTGTCCTTTTCCAAAAATTATATAAGACAAAACCTTAATCTATCACTATGTCCATTTCCTTCCACCATAGTTTTGACTTTGTTACTTTCAAGAGATTCAAGGTACATTGACTCTAACTCCTTTGGGTTCTGCTGAGCTTTTCCAGAAGTATGACAGTTACATAAATGAGAGTCTCAGCAGAGATATCTCCCCATGGCAAAACCCAAAAGAACCGCCCACATGGCAATGGCAGCATTTCCATCTTCCTTAGCAAACAACACAGCATGGAAGAAATAGAACTTTGATTCATGAGTCAAAGGGATTTTCATAGTTGGAAAAAACCACCCCCTTTTTATTTACAATTATGTGAAAAATTTCTAAAGCACTGAGGTAACTTACTGTGCTGACTCACGTGCAAGTAGTAGAGGGCAGCAGACTGCTGCAGACCTGGGTTTTCTGAAAAGGCCAGAGTCCTCAAGGCTTCCAGAGGGTCCTTCCCAAGCGGAGACATTTCAAAACCTGAAGATGTACAATGACAGCACACACTCAGTTATACCTGAAAAGGGTCAGTTTACAAAAAGAAATGAAAACTTACAGCCAAACAAACACATAAGGAATTTTTGTACTGCAACGACTCCATAGAGCCCATCTATCCTTATTCATTATTTCATGAGGTGCAGAATTCATTCTGCAATGAATGAATCTGGAATAACCTGTCCTTGGCAATGCCTCTGGTGAAGCTCACAAAGCTAGTGATTGGAAGCAAGATAAATTATAACCCTTAGACACTTTTAGGCTATCCAATATAAATGCAGGTGTTCTTGTTCTCCATAAAAATCTGTATTTATTTCCTGAATCATAGAAGATTTTTGTTAAAATATTTCCACTGCATATAGTGTTCATAGTTATGAGCTAGAGAAGGAGTATTCACTTTAAACTTACTAAAGTTTAAGTTCATTGTGTTTCTTGTCCTGAGTATTACAATAAAGGATTTCAGGGAATAGCAGCATAAATTGGAAGTGGGCTTGCCTGAGGCTCAAATTTCTAGCATGAGTGTCTACCTGTTTTCCAGCATGATAGTTCCCCTAGGAATAAAACAGATGTTCAGCAATAACTATCAAGTAATAGCAGTCATGCATGACTTCTGAAATGTTCTTATAATGTGTGGAATGGAGCAGCAGAGTTTAAAAAAAAAAAAAAAAAAAAAAAAAAAGGCCATTGAACAACTGCTCAATACTATAAAATGCTGAAAAGCTCAGGTAGACCCAACTGACTGATGGAGCACTCTATTATAAGATGTATTTTCAGACAATCAATTGAAGCAGTGCATTAATGATTGAAATATCTCTATGAACAAGATCTACTTTAGCTCCCACGGGAGAAAGAGATGAGAGTGTGAGCTTCTGTGCCTCAGTGCAAAACTCAGCCAGCAGGTCAAGGCATTAGAACCTGCTGACATGTCAAGAGTAGCAAACTCCAGCCTTCAAGGTTAGGTAAGTGGGCTTCACAGAACTGCTTCATGTGAAGGTTTTGTTTAATAATTAACAATACACATTAGCTAATGTGTGACAGTTATACAGAAAAATCAGGATCTCTTCCTGTAGTTCAATTCTGTTCCTTACACACTGACTACCTGAACCTCCCACATAGCTGTGTGGTTCTGTCGGGAAGAATGATAAAGCAACAGCCTCTCAGAACCTTTATCTGCTCATAATAACCAGCATTTGCCACCCTAGCTAACAGCTGAGTATGTTGATGAGCTGTGAAGTCTCTCCTTTGCACTCAAACTGTCCAAATGTTGGCTCCCTGCTTGTTATGATTTGTCCAGAACTGAGGACAGACTTGTTCCATCTCAGAACAAAATACACAGGAAAGCCCTGAGGTGAGAGGGATTTCTCTTGGTTCTCTTCATAAGGCTTCCCTGCCCCCATCTGTCTTGCAAGCAGGATTTGGCCACCTTGATTCTTCCTGGGTGCTGTGTCTCCTGTGATGGGCCCTGGGGTCACCCTGAGCTGCCACAGCAGCTCTAGGCTCCCTGCTGCTGCTCCAGGCTTCAGATCAGCCTTTGGGAGACCCAGCTCAGAGAGGAGAGGATTTCTCAAGAAATCATACACATTCTTTTCAGGAATCACTAGTGGGTGCTGTAAAGGGCCACTCTGGCCTCACCACTTTTTCCTGACCATCCCTCCATGGCACCTGATCCATCAACAAAGACTCTTCTCCAGTCAGGAAAATCCCTACTCTGCATCAGGCTAAACTGGTCCTATTCTGAATATGGACTCCAGGATTTAGCCAGTGCTTCAAGTGCAGCAATTAGAGAACTGTTTCAGCTGCTGATCAGAGCGTGGGACCCCCCCCCAATTCACACATGTTCCCACCAGCCCGTGTCACAGCCATGATGCCAAAGGCTGTTCCATGACAGACCATTCCAAACACCATGAACAGCATCACACCATAGAAAAATGCCTCTCCTGCTCCCCCTCTCAAGATGGTTTTATGTCCCTAACAAGGCAAAGAAAGGAACACTGCTCGGTGCTCCACACCCTGCACACCAATGAAAGCAGAAGGTGATGCAATATTTTGTAGCAGCTTTAGCCCAAAGTTGTTAAACTTGAAGGGATCCATCCAATTAGCTGTGAGACAAAGCAAAGCTAAGCAAACAATGGGCCCAGCCCAAACTTAAGAGAAGAAAGGTTTTTAGATTGGACAACTGACAAAACACACTCATCCAAGAACATATTCTGTGATAGAGGGGTAAAATAAAGCAAGTTTTCCTGTTGATACTGTTGTATCCTGGAGGAGGATGAAGAGAACATCACATGGAGATAAACAGGGGAATGAGAGAGGTAGACTATAAAGCAGAGGAGGCACAGGAAGGGTCATGGATCTACTTCGATTCAAGCAGAATCTCATTATTGTGTTCAAGCCTTATGTCTAGAAAGCTTGCACAAAAACATTTAGGCAGATCAGCCGCTTGGAACCCGAGGAAGGCCTGGGATCCCAGCGGTTCCTGCCCCGGGGTGCTCTGACCCCCCAGCCACGGCACAGACACCCCCAGCCGGCCGGACACAGTGCCCACCGACCGGGAACCTCCCTGCCCGGCACCCGCTGCCTCCTCCCGGCCCCCTCACCTCAGAACATTAACTGCAGCTGGCAGGAGGACTCGCTGTTGTGAAACCTACTGACGTGGGTTATGCATCAACAGCGGCAGAGCAGGAGAGGGACCGACCGTTTCTGCCCGGATCCCACTGCTGCTGCTTGAGCACTTGGTATCCCGGCTGCCAAGGAAAAGCCCGGTAGCTCCAG